TTAGGGAGTGCTAGGGAGAATTTACCCCCCTTGGACCCCCCTCCCTTAAGGATACTATAAGTTTAGTATGGACATCCCTGAGATTCGAGGTTGAGGGTTTCGGGATGGACTTTGAACTACGCAGGGGTCTTTAGCGTGAAGAACCCAGGGGTTCAAGGTTGAGGGCTTAGGGATGGACTTTGATCTGCGGAAGGATCTTTTGTATGGAAAACCCTAAATCCGAACAACTTGTGCCGATGGTCCTCCTCTAGCAATGACTTCATCACCCTAAACGCTAAACCCTAAACCCTGAATCCTAAACCCTAAACCCTAAACCCTGAACCCTAAACCCTGAACCCTAAACCCTAAACCCCGCTTTTCCCGTTCAGGCTTTTTCAGGGTTTGAGCTTCGGAGTCTGCGACCGTTGACAATGAGCTTTCGGCTTCCCAGGCAGGAAGTCTTTTTACCCTTGCACCCAAGAAGCCTCAAAAGGAGCACGATTTGCTGCACTGGGTTGGCGAAACTGAACTTTAAACAAAATTGTAAAACCCGTCAGGTATGCCACCCCTCTAAACCCTAAAGCCTCAACCCGAACCCCTAAACCCTAAACCCTAAACCCTAACCCGTAAACCCCAACCTCTAAGCCCTAAACCCCAACCCCTAAACGCCAACCCCTAAGCCCTAACCTTTAAGGCTGAGGCTTCAGGGTTTAGGGGATATCGATAGGGATTAGGGTTCAGGGCTTGGGGTTGAGGGTTAAGGGGTTAAAGGTGAGGGTTTAGGTGTTAGGGGTTGGTGTTGAAGGCTTATATATGACGTTTAGTGTTGAGTGGATTGCACTACGCTTCTAGGATTATCGGGTTTGTGTAGGGGTGAATTTAGCGACAGCCCGATAGACCAACCGCGAAAACGTGCAAAGCGCAAACTTTGAGGACGTATATACGCGTCCTTAATTAGAGTTAGGGTTTAGGGTTTAGGGGTTTAGGGTTATGATTGGGGTTTAGGGTTTAAGGCTTCTGGGCTTAGGGTCGTCAGGGTCTTTTTGGAGGGGGTTTGGGGTTCATGGCTTCGGGCCTCCAGGCCTGATCGGGTCTTTCGGCTAAACCAGGCTTTTCAGGCGACCCCTTTACTTAGTTGCTGAGTTTGGGACTTATCGGGTTTGGGGCGTAGGGCTTTCGGACCGGGGCACTGTCATAAAGACAAGAGCCACTTAATTGCTGAGTTCATAAGCCCCCAAAAGTGTACACTTTTCGTTTTATGGTGGGTAGTATTATCCCAAAAAGTGTGAAGTGTATCCACTCAGCTACTACGTTTAGCAAACGGAAATTGAAACGGATCAAGACTCAAAACCTGAAACCACAGAGAAGCCAAAGCAACAAGGAACCTACATAGTACTGGGACTTAGCAAGTAATTCTGTTATGAGCAAATTGACCGAAACCCTGAGAAGAGCCTCAAGCCTAAACCCAAACCCCTAAACCCTACACCCCAAAACCTAAACCCGAAACCCCAAACCCTTAGCCCCAAACCCTAAACCCTAAACCCCAAACCCTACACCCCAAGGCAAGCCCTAAACCCTGACTACTATTTGCTTAAGAACCCCCAAGAAATAAAAAATATATTCCTTATGGGTGTAATATAGGGATTATTATTTTTAGTTTTTGGGTGTTTCTTAAGCAAATAATAGCTGAAGTCCCTCAGCCCCAAACCCCCCGCCTCTTCGGCGCTGGCGCTGTCAGAAGCAGTACGCCCCCAGCCAGAGCTCCCAGACCAAAGGCCTTCTGCATTAAGGGGTTTAGGGTTTAGGGTTTGGGGTTTAGGGTTTAGGGTTTAGGGATTAAGGGGCCCTTTAAGGGATCTATAGGGGTACTATAAGGGGTTCCTTGAAGGGATCTATGGAGGTACTATAAGGGTTTAGGGTTTAAGGTCTACTGAGGCCTTCTGCAAGGGTTCAGGGTTTAGGGCCCTAGGGTTTTAGGGTTCAGGGTTCAGGGTTTGGGGGTTTAGGGTTTAGGGTTTTGGGGTTTGGGGTTTGGGGCTCAGGGTTTGTGGTGTAGGGTCCAGGGTTTAGGGTTCAGGGTTTAGGGTCCAGGGTTTAGGGTTCAGGGTTTGGGGTTTCGGGTCAGGGTTTAGGGCATGGGGTTGAGCATTTAAAGGGAACTCCATAAAGTTGGAATATGGTTTCAGGGTAGGATGCCCTATAATTTACCATAAAGGGTTTAGGATAACCATATTCCAACTTTCTGGCTTTTACCTTAGGGGCTTGGGGTTTGGGGTGCGGGGATTTAAGAGAACTTGTGCGAGCGAGGATCCAGTATGGTTTAGGGTTCAGATCTAGTCAGTCATTCTTCAGACCTGCTGGGGTTGTGGATTTAATTAGGGGGCAGGGAAAGACGAACAAACAATGAATCAACTGCAAAGTAAAACCTAGGGAGTTCAAAGACTATAGGGCATTGAATGCAAGGTTCCCGCTACAAGCTCCGCACATCTAACCGGAAATCAATGCTCCTGCAGCAGAATACTGGAGGATCAAGGGACTTAGTAAGTGGAGTTATAAGCACCCTTGATTAGGTTTACAGTTCCAAGTAGGTATAACTTATAACCAAAGCTACCTGACCCTAAACCCTAAACCCTAAACCCCACCTACTCAGTCCCGTGATCCTCCAGGCAGGGTCTTGACCATGGTCTTGCATGCTGCTTAAAGGATCAGGGGACTTAGTAAGTAGGGTTACAAGTACGGTAACTATAGTTATTTCTACTTATAACCTTAATTCAGGTACTTCTAACCCTATACTTACTATAAGTCCCATGATCCTCCAAGTATGCGTGCTCCCAAAAGGCCGCTGCCTCTGCCACGACGTGCCGGCGTGCGAAGCGTCGCGCCTGCGGACTCAGGTAGAGGGTTTCGTGCTGGGGGATCTTGGCGTGTTCTTTTAGGGTTTCGGGTTTAGGGTTTGGCGTCTTCTTGGGCTTCGGGGTTAGGGGTTGGGGCATTGAGGTTGAGAGTCCTAGGCCCAACCTAGGCTTCAGGGTGCATTAAGGTCGGGTCTAGCGCGGTGGGGTGTTGAGTTTCCGGTGTCATGAAGGACATGGCATAACTAGACACCCCCGTCGAACCTAGGGATCTAAACACTCATACATTAAGGCTTTTGGGCCCAAAGACCATGCTATATAAGGCTTCTGGGCTATTTTGATCCCTAGGGCTAGAGTTTATGTTGGACAACGCCGCGAGTTGGTGGCCCAGTGTAGTTGGTAATGGTCCCTGTGAGTCCTAAACCCTATGCCCTGATCCGCACTCACTGAATCCTCACCATAACCAGCCCAGCGCTCCTTCCCAGGTGGCGGTTCTATAAGGGCTGTACAGTACTCAAAGGGGAACAGCAGGGACCCTTAATGGGGACCCCTAGCCTATAACGGGCTATATAATGGGTATATACTAGCTATATTAAGGGTATATACCGAAGGGTTCTTGTTAAGGGTCCCTCCTTTTACCCTTGGATATAAGGGGCTATCTTACAAAAAGGAACCTAAGACCACACAAAGAGGGGACGGGCCCACTGGAAGGCCTAGAAACAGGAACAAGTGTGTTGGGATTGACCGAAGGATGTCTACAACCGTAAGCGCCCGAAAACACAGGGTTTAGGGCTTAGAGTTTGGATGGTATCTGTTGCTCAGTTGCGTGTTCAACCTGGACCTATAATTATTTATATAAGGCCTTATGGACCACAAGCTGCTTTGCAAGGTAGTCTATGTAATGTAAACCATCAGATGCCACGACGCAAATCCGAACTCCGTCCCAAAACACATAAGTACGTGCCTTTGTGGCGGTTGCTCCTCTCCCTCCTTCCCTGCCCCCCTCCCCGACCTCCCTCACGCCCTTCCTTCCTTCAGCTCTTTTGGCTTTTCTCTCTCTTTGGACATAAGCTTTCGCGCTAAACCCTAAACCCTAAACTCTAAACCCTGAACCCTAAACCCTAAACCCTAAACTCTAACTCCACTGCGACTAACAAATCCGCCTTAGAACTGTTTGAGTCGCCAACTACTTCTTGGCGGGACGACCGGGGCCGGGGGCCAGAATAATTAGAACAGAGTTTTGGGATACATTACGGCATAGTACCAAACAGGAACCCTGGGACCCTTAGGAACGACATCGGTAGTAATTCAGATTTCTAATATAGGAACCTGACTAAGAAACCCTGGGCATATAACCCCAAAGTAGTAGGCTTCATCTAAGGAACCCGAATGAAGGCCCAAGGTTTCTTGATCAGGTTCCTACATTACTAAGAACACTAAAGCCATCCCGAGCCCCCTGAGCCTTCAGGCAAATTGCTAGCAGAGGATTGGCATTCTGACTTTTTCGGGTTTAGGGTTTAGGGTTTAGGGTTTGAGGATGGCATTCTGACTTTAGGGTGTAGTATGTAGGCCATGTGTCAAAAAAGGCCACCAACAGGTAATTATAAGTTGGAAGTAGCTGCCATTGTTAAGTATATACCCTCAACCCTGAACCCAATACCCTAAACCCGAAACCCCTAAACCCTAAACCCTGCTCAGACCTCTATATTACATGCAACACTAGATTTCAGCATAGTGCCCAACGAGCACCCTTCAAGCACGCTTTAAGCAAAACCTTCTAGGCCTAAGAGTAAAAAGGGTGCCCTTTTTGGTTTAAACGGTGTTATAAGGGAACCTAAACCCTAAAGAAGGGAATAAGGGCCCACTCTAGGTCCTAGATTCTAGGCCGTGAGTGTTTATACGATTTGGGGATGTGCCTTGAGGTTTAGGGTTTAATTAGGGTTAACCACTGGTTAGGCATAAACCCTGAACCCAAAATCGTAAACCTGGAAAACTAGACCCGAACCCCCAATCTATAAACGGCCTAAACCCCAAACCCTAAACCCTAAACCTCCCCAAAGGTCCTAAACTAACCCCTAAACCCGAAACCGTAAACGGCCTCCCAAAAGAAGTCCTAAACTAGCCCCTAAGCCCCAAGCCGAAAACGGCCTCCCAAAAGAAGTCAGTCTCCTGAAAGTCGACGACCGCATCGTGGAACCACGCCGCCTGTGCGTAGCGAGAAACCCTTGGGGCCCAGAAGTGAAACTCCAAAAGCCTAGGCGGGGTTCACTGGTTCACGGTCGGAATAGTATTGAAAGCTTACATATTCAGTCCTATTGGGTTTAAGTACCCCTACAAATGTAAAATGTTACCCAACCATGACAAAGTTCAGGGCTTGGGGATTAGGAGTTTCTATGGTAGGAATTACCGTTATGGTTTGGGTAAGTATCCCCTATATAGCTACTCGAGAGACTTTGGAATACATCTGCTACCGACTTTGATTTATATAAACATACCTGGGCCCTAGCAAACCCTACGGCTTGAAAGTTCGTTTGTTTTGATCTCCTCATAAAAGTCAGGAACAGGGAGGCTATTTGGGGTTCAGGTCAAACCTCATAAGTCACAAGCATTGAGGATACTCGTGGTTCAGGCTTAGCCTTTCTAAGCTCCTCTACAAATTTCATGATGGTTGCTTTGAGGCTGTAATTTCTCGCTTTTGATAATTAAAATCACCAAACTTGCTTGACAACTCTCATGAAAGTTTCATGAGAGCTTCCATGCGCCAAAACAGAGGCTTCTATGGTGTTACCGTTACAAAGGTTCCACAAACACTTTAGGGATTCCTTACACCCAAACCTTTACACAAAAAACACACCAAAACCCGTAAACCCCAACATCTAAAACCCCTAATCCCAGAAAAAGTAATTGAATTCATCACTCCACAAATTAAGCCCTATAAGTAGCCCGGTCACCCAAAGACAAACACGAAGCAGATGACACCCACAACCACAACGGTGAAGCCAGACCCGAACACCAAAACCTTCGATCCTAAAACCCGAAACCCAATAAACAAATCCGTGTCAGAACCACATGAAACCCATGAATAAGCTCTTGAAAATATTCGTAGATAAAGCCTCTTAAGACCAGCGGAAAATCTGAAATGTTTGGAACGGCCAACCTAGTCTCATAACCCTTGCAAAACCCAACAGATCTCCGAACAGATGGCAACGTTCCCGGGAATCCTAAACCCTAAACCTCTAGCGCCTAAACCCTAAACCCCGAAGCCCTAAACCCTTTCCGCTTAACACTTTAAACCGAAACCCCTATGACCCCTAAACCTGCAACCACTAATCTTGAAGGAGCATGGATGCTTGCACATGTCCGCCTGTTTTTCCAGAAGCTGCCGGTTTAGGGTCTAGTTAGAGGTTCAGCAGGATTATCAGTTATAAGTATCTGAATGAAGGCTGTAAGCAGTGAAAACTTCAGCTACCGTACTTGTAACCCTACTTACCAAATACCCTGATCCTGAAGTGAACCCCTAAACCCTAAACGCTCCGACCGCGCGTCTTGCCTCGCACCCACAAGACAAGACCCGGCATGTTGAGAAGTAGAACACCCTCGCAGAAACCGTACAAATCGTCTTTACGATGGCTAACAGAAGCTCTTATGTCAGAATGATGATTTATGTCAAACTACATTCAGACGCATCACCTCTCGGGTGGGATGCCAACGCGAGAAGAGTTGGTTTAGCTGCACGTCTGCTTGTCGTCCCGGAGGGCCGCCCATTATGACGTCGATGCGGCCGCTGCGAGCTGCCCAGACCAACAGCCGCCAGGTCTCTGCACGGAAAATGTCCTGCCCCTTAGACTGACGGATGAATATGGAGTCGTGGCCCTTTTCACCGGAATACAGGTGCACCGCCCAGCGCTCGCCATGAGAAGCCGGCGTCGCTGATGGCGTGACAAGAAAGAGATCTCCTTAAGGATAGACCACCCCGAGTCCTTGACATCGGCCGGTATCACTCCGCACAGACACTGAGCGGGTAGATCCTCGAGGAAGGGTGCATCCCGAAGTGCTGTGACCCTGATGTCAGCACATAGTCTTGCAAATCTGAGGCGCTTCTCGCACACGCTGGAACGGGAAAGGTTTGTGAAACCAACAAGAACGTTTGAGCTTGTCATCACGCTTTCCTACAGCCCTGCACTAGTGCCTCCCCTGGTTGCTGCCATTTCAAGGAAAACGTAAGCTTGGAACAGAGACCACTTCTGCGTCGACATCTAACCAGAGAGTGAAAAGAGTCTTTGCGACATGCACCCGACCAACGCCCCTGACGCAAATGTGTGGGGCGCCAAAGCACGTCCACATCGCTCGCAAGCACGCCACTTGAACGAGCGTTTGCCCGCGGTGCCCGGAAAATCCCCAACCGGAAGACTAACCCTGTAAACCCGTACAAATCCCAAACCCTTAAAGGGTTTGGGGTTGGAGCTGAGTTCGTCGCAGACCCCCTTGCGCTGATCCCCAAAGTAAACCCCTGATTCAAGAAACCCCCTTTTTAGAAGGCGTTGTGGGTTTCGGGTTCAGGGTTGAGGGATTTAGGGTCTAGGGTTTAGGATTTCGCGTATAGGTTGAATCTTGGCATCCTTTTTATCATCCTGATATTGGGTTGCGTGTTCACCAGCTATGCTCGGCCATACGCATATCGCCCAAGGCGTCACACATCCGAAAAGCCAGAACCTATCCCCTCCGTCAGCCAAGCCAAGAGACTCCGAAACAATTAATCATCCTATCAGGAATGGTCCTCAACTTACGATAAACTCCAAACCCTAAACCTTAACCTCCCTGAATATTCAGTTCGTCAGGCGTCAAAAGCTTTGGGATTTCACACAACACATGCCTTGTTCACGGCTTTCGTCGCCAGTCTTTTGGCGTAGTGCTTGGGGAGGTTCAACTCGAAGAAAGACCTGAGGCGTCCGGTCCAATCCTTAAATGGAAACCCCTGAGCCCACGATACTTAAACATGCGGCTCTTCTCAGTATCATCTAAACTGTGCAGATATTGTTGCACTACCTCAATGGCCGTCGGGCTTGGCAAAGCCAAATCTGTTTACATTGGTGAACCCAGAGTGCCCAATATCCTTCAATTAAGGAATATGGTTTAATTTATATAGGGCTTCATGTAATGATTTAAGCAATATTGCAATATTCCTTAATTACGGGGTATTGGGCTCTTTGGGAAGCCGTGCTGTTAAACATGCGAATATTGTTTCGAACAGGACCTCTATCCTACCTCCGTGGCCTCTGCGGTCCGGCCACCCTCCACTCATTCAAAAGTTTAAAGTTTAAGGTTTGGGGTTCAGCAGCTCCGGATGGAGCAGTTTCTAGTCGAGCTCGTAAGTTCGACGTCGAATAATACCCACCCACCCAGAGAATCCCAAAACATTAGGAAATGTACATTCTACCCCTAGAGCCCACAACCCTAAGGCTCAAACCCTAAGGCCCAAACCCTAAAGCCAAAACCCTACGGGCCAAACCCTACGGCCGAAACCCTAGGCCGGAACCCTGACGCCGAAACCCTAAGGCCGACCCTGCGGCTGAAATCCAGAAATGCACGAATTCCACTTTGTCCACCAATCCGTTTTCGCCTTTTCCACGAAAAGAAATCGCCGTGTCCACGTACTCCGCCGTCCGAAAAATCGCTTTGTCCACAAATTCCGCCGTCCGAGAAATCGTCGAAAAATCGCCTTGTCCACGCATTCCGCCCTCCGAAATCGCCTTGTCCACGAATTCCGCCCTACGAAATCGCCTTGTCCACGAATTCCGCCGTCCGAAAATCGTTTCATCCACAAATGCCGCCCTCCGAAAAACCGCCTTGTCCACGAACTCCGCCCTCCGAAAAATCGCCTTGTCCACAAATGCCGCCCTCCGAAAATTGTCCACGAATTCCGCCCTCCGAGAAACCGCCTTGTGCACGACTTCCGCCCTCCGAAAGCGCCTTGTCCACGAATTCCGCCCTCCGAAATCGCCTTGTCCACGAATTCCGACCACGAACACATGCACAGGCACACCGACAGACACACCGCAAATGAGCAAGCCGAGCGCCAAGCAACGAGCAGTTCAACCCAGAAGCTCAGTGGCAAACCGACAACTAAACCAAATAAGCAACATAGAGACATAGAGAGATAGCTCAACAAACAACTACAAACGGAGCAAGTGAAGCCCTGAACATAACTGGAATGGCCAAGGCACGGCCACCTTGCCCTCGACAAAGATGTGCCCTGCAAGATGACGCACTGGTTGGGCTTGAGGGAGAAGTCTTCAGCACAGAGCGCGAAGACAGTGCCAGACTTGCTGCCCCTGCCCAAATCCACTCTGGCAAAACCAGCAAAATATTTTGTTAAGCATGCTCAACGAACTCTGGGACCCCCGCCACTCAAGTCGCAGTTGGTCATGCCAAAGGTCGGTCATGGCCAGGAGCCGGGAGACGCAAGCTTCAACCGAAGCTCGTGTTCCGTTGCGAAGGTCATGCGCCACAGCATGCTCACCTCGAGCTTCGCTACAAGTGACGCGCTCAAACCTGACTCTTCGAATCAATGCTCTTACACAAAGAAAAGCGCTACTGGCTGCCACAGAGTCAATAGAAATGATACCTGAACGCACGGCTAACAGCTGGCACGCCTGGCCTTTGCCATGCAGCCGCAGGTCTGTGCGCTGGCACAAATCCAGGCCGAAAGATGGCACACCGTGGACAGCGTCTGCAGTCACCTACAGCGGCTGCTTTGAACGCAAAACATCCCGTAAACGCACAGCAGCTAGTGGCCTAATGCTTCCGGCTTCCGGCTCTTTAAAAGCCCTTCGCCCTCCGCGCCGACAAGAAGAGGTAATCTTCGCGGTGCTTTCGGGCACGCGGATTTCATCTTCCGCAAGCGCAGCACTGACCATTAACATGCTTTTGACCTCAGCAGCAGCGCAAACGATCTATAAGTCGGCGGTGTTACAAGTTATCTCGCATGAAAATCACAAAAAGAATAAACACTGATTGAAACCAAGCTGGAGACCAGCAGAATGTCATTTTCGCAGGGCAGATGCCGCGGCATTGGGCAGCCCGGTAGAAGCGATCCCCGGGATTGATCAGGTTTAACCTGCCGGCACATCACGGACACACCGTCAAGAAAAACTCCGGGTAGTTAACTTTACAGCCTTGCCTGGCGGCCACGCCAGACCCAATCAAGATTATACCATCCATGCGATCTTTGTTCTCCTGACACGCACAAAAAGTCAAAGAGAACAACAAGACAACACCAAGACTAATAACCCCGAACAAGCATTCCAGCTTCGACATCTTCGTAATCTTGAAACCGCTTACGCCATGCGTCTCACTTGGCGTGGCAAGGAGCGGCATTCGGGCATAGGCCTGAATCCACTCTCAGCCGCACGCACACACGCACGATGTCAAGCAAGCTACGCCACTAAGCAAACCCCACTGAAGCCCAAAGCTTCTCCTTGCAATCGGCCACATCGAGGATGAACTTCGCAGACGGCGAAGTTGTCACATCTGACGCCGCATAGTAGGCGGAAAATCCTGACAGCATGCTGCGACTTGCCCCCGAGACTACTTATGCAATTTCATCGTCATACAAAATGAATCAGTCTAAGTGTCCTCGCGGCCAAATGTGGCAAGCAGCTTTGGAGGATAGCCTCAAAAGTGAAGCACTCCAGAAACCAAGGTGCACGAAACCACGAAATGCAGCCGATAAGCCATAAGCCATCACAAACTAAAATCACGCATAAAGCCAAACGGTGCCACCAAGATACCACCACCGTCCAACAGCTTCGTCAGCTCGCGCGGGAACCGCGGCTTCACCACAGGAACGAAGCTCTTGCGCCACTCCCTGCGATTATTCTTGCGGGGGTCGTAGCGCACCTTTAAGAGGCCGCCGCGCAGCTCCCGCAATAAACCTGAGCTAGAATCTTCGTGGCTAATATACGTAGAAACGCGAAACCAACACCAAAATAACAGCAGAAAAACACAAAAAGAGAGAGAGAGAGAGAGAGAAAGAAAGAGAGAGAGAGAGACAGATAAGAGAAAGAGCAAGAGCAAGCGCAAGAGCAAGCGCAAGAGGGATAAATATAAAGAGAAAGATAAAACGAAAGAGCAAGAGAAAGCGAAAGACAAAGAGAAATAGAAAAAGAAAGAGAAAGACAGAAAGATAAAGAGAACGACAGAAAGAGAAAGAGAGACACAGAAAAAGAAAGAGAAGGAGAAGGAGAAAGAAATGCGAGATAAGTGGGTGCGCCCCCATTTCTAAAGAAGCACACCCACCGCGCGCGCACTGTATACACACCCTAAACCCTAAACCCTACACCTTACACCCTAAACCCTACATCCTAAACCCTAAACCCTGAACCCCGAACACTCTACACCTTAAACCCTAAACCCAGGCTCCACGCGCTGCGACTTTCGAGCCCGAAGACGGGCCTCCGAAGTGTGGAGTTGGTGGGTTATGGACTTGGGGTTTTCGGTTTTGTGGGGGCTCCAGAAGATGGGGCTAGTGTCGGGGCCTTGAAGACTAGAATGGGGTTTTGGGCTCCTTTATAATATGGTTACGATAAGGAACCCCAGAGGACTAATATAGGTAATCATGTAGGCTTCTATATATCATAAGTCTACAGGTCTAGGGTGGGATGGATTCTGCAGCTTTCGGATTGTACGGTTCGGGGCAGACAGGGTTAAGGGCTTTGGGTTCAGAGCTTCTGGGCCTTCTAGTTCATTGTTGGGATAGGGTTAAAAATGTATTTTTTTATTCCTTATTGGGTTCAAGTACCTATAAAAATGTAAAATGCTACCCAACTATGACAAAGCATTTAGGGATGATGTTCGACCGGCGTCTGCATAAAGGCCGGGAGCCACCTCGAAGACACTGTGACAAAAAGGATTAGGGTTTTGGGGCTTGCATGTTGTCCCACGGAGCCACAAGGGTTTTTGAATGTGGTATAATGAAGGCCTCAGAATTTGAGGTTTAGGTTTTAGGTCTTCAGGCTTAGGGTTTAGGGTTGGGGGGGGGCCAAGGGTTTAGGATTTCTGATACCCGAGAGCCCTGAAGCCCACGAAGCCCTTAAAGTGCTCTGCGGCGCTGCGGACTCTCCGAAAACAGGTTTCCGGGCCCAAGAGAAGGGAAACCAGGTGAATTTCCTGCATCGCAACTCTGAACCTTGCCAAAGCTTACACCATACCTTAACCTACGAAAAACCACTTTTTTGTAGGGTCCCTATAAAATCCATATTAGGGTTTGTATTAAGAACCTACAGACATGTATGGTTTGGTAGGTTAAGGTACACCCTAAACCTAAAACCCGTCACCCTACTTAAAGGATTAGGGCACTTACTAACTAGGGTTATGAGCAGGGCAACCTTACTAAGTCCTATGGTTCTTCGGGCACATCAGGCTGCCTCTTAAACCTGTCTTTAAGCAGGAATAGACTAGACTCTTTTTGTGAAGAGGGGCTTTCTACTAAAACATCTTACGGAACCCGAATGAATACAGTACTAAAACTTGAGAACTTGAAGCCGTATAGACCCCAAACCCTAACACCACACACAAAAACCCAAAACCCTACGCCCAAAGCCCCTAAACCATAAACCCCTAAACTAAACCCTAAACCCCAAACCCTAAACCCTAAACCCCTACACTTGTACTGTGAACCTCATAAGAACCTTTCAAGGCGCACTTATAAAGTAACCCCTTCACGACATACATATGCACAGGCCCTGATGACCGAACACCCCGTATCCACAAAAATGATAAACCATAAAGGGTTTAAGGTTTAGGGTTCAGGGTTCAGGGTTTAGGGTTTTAGGGTTTAGGGACCATAAATGATAAACCTGAGTCCTACAGCCTAAACCGTAGACCCCAAACCCTAAACCCTGAACTCTTACAGGAACCCCAAACCAAAGTAAACCTTAAACAGTAAGCCCCTAAACCCCAGACCCCCAAACCCTAAACCCTGAACTCATAATTAAGGAACCCCAAACCAAAGGAATCCTTAAACAATAAGCCCCCTAAACCCTAGACCCCAAACCCTAAACCCTGAACTCATAATTAAGGAACCCCAAACCAAAGGAATCCTTAAACAATAAGCCACTAAACCCCAGACCCCCAAACCCTAAACCCTGAACTCATAATTAAGGAACCCCAAACCAAAGGAATCCTTAAACAGTAAGCCCCCTAAACCCCAGACCCCCAAACCCTAAACCCTGAACTCATAATTAAGGAACCCCAAACCAAAGGAATCCTTAAACAATAAGCCACTAAACCCCAGACCCCCAAACCCTAAACCCTGAACTCATAATTAAGGAACCCCAAACCAAAGGAATCCTTAAACAGTAAGCCCCCTAAACCCCAGACCCCCAAACCCTAAACCCTGAACTCATAATTAAGGAACCCCAAACCAAAGGAATCCTTAAACAATAAGCCACTAAACCCCAGACCCCCAAACCCTAAACCCTGAACTCATAATTAAGGAACCCCAAACCAAAGGAATCCTTAAACAGTAAGCCCCCTAAACCTGCAGAGTTGTGATGATCTGTCGTCAGTGGGCCCTTTTGAAATGTGCAGTGAACTGAAGATTCATGCGAACGGCATGGCTCAAGCGAAAAAGAATGCGTTAGGGTCGTGCGAGCTTGATGTCGACTCTTAACAACCCAAATTCGAATGATCTGCCCCCTAGCCAAGCTGGAGAACATCAACAGGTCATGGGCCCAAGTGGCGCGCCTGCACGTGATACCAGGAGCGAACATGTTACTATGAATGGCGTTGGACCCTCAGAGCGTAGACAGCCAGCATCAGCGGATGAGGCGACTTACGAGAGAGTTCTGGCCGGTGCACACGCTAGTGCGGAGCAATCTTCACAGCGAGTACCTCTACAACAGCATGATGATCAACAGCGTGTAAGAGCTAGTGGTGGAGCAGCTTCAAGCACAACAGCACCAGCACAAGGGGGTGAGGGAGATAGACTTCTTCTACCGCATGCAAGGGTTGATGCTACTTTGAACTTAGCGCCAACGAGGGCAACATCAACTATGGGTATGTGGGCACCTTCACCGTTTCCTTCACCTATGTCGGCCCAGGAAAGCACTGAACAGGGAACAACGATGGGGTCAACCTTTGTGCAGCAGGGTGCAGCAGCTATGAAGTGGTTTAGCAGATTGGGCGAGTATGTGCAGACCAGGATGATGACTGCGCAGACGAGGCCTGATGGAGAATCTGCGACCGTGTTGGAGGAGACGGTGTGGTCTTCCAGCCCGGCAAGGACCGCGGACAGGGAAAGGGATCCTCTCTTTTCAGGGCGGCAGCTACGGCGATTTCGTGAACTGGAGGGCCAGGCTCCGCAGTTGTATGGAGCTGTCGCAGGCACTTCAGGTGGAGCGAGTTCGGAAGCTTCGGGATCCTATTCCAGGGAGCAGTTGGA